ATTTAAAAACAAAAAACATCACGATTTGCAAGTTATTCGTGAGTTATTTTTTAAATAGAATTGCTCGATTGCGATTTAATTGGCAGAAAAACAAATGTAATATTTGTAATTAGTTTGGATAATGTATTGAAATGAATTTAGGATGCGTCTACGTACATTATTGCGTTTATTATTAACTGTTAATGACAACTGAAAACAATGTCAACTGAGGTATTCAAAAATAGCAAGTCAATTATCGCGATAGAAAGAGAGAGAGAGAGAAGGAGGGAGGGAGGGAGGGGGGAAGAGAGAAAAAGAAATCGCAACCAATACCGATCGCAACGCATGTTTCTTTGTGCGCGAAAATAATTCTGCCAATGTAGCGCCCCTTAGACGTGCGATTTATCCACGACCCACCCACATTACCGTGCGATTTAACGAGCCGTCGTGTAACGGTCGCTTAACGATGATTCAGAGACCGGTCAAATGGTGCTTGAACCTCTCCTTCACTTATCCCCCCATCCGTTCTCTCTCTCTCTCTCTCTCTCGCTCTTTCTCTTTCTCCTTGTCTTGATATATACGTCACTCTTCTCGTTTCCACTCTCTAACCTCTTCTGGTATACAGTCACTCTTCAGTGCTAGTCTCACTAATTCAAGATTCCAAGAATTATGCTATTGGCATAAAATAGCCGTTAGGCTTTCCCGCTTTTCCATATCTGATAAATATTGTTATTTCTTTATTTCGTCTCGGTTTTCTCTTTCTCGCAGTAAATTAAGCAGCTCCAAAATTTATACGCCCCCCGCGGCTCATTAAAAAAGCGCTTCCTTTTCTTTTACATATTAGGCGCAAGATGTTTCGCAATCGCAGTAAATTAAGCAGCTCAAAAATTTATACGCGCCCCGCGGCTCATTAAAAAAGCGCTTCCTTTTCTTTTACGTATTAGGCGCAAGATGTTTCGCAATTCAAATGCATTGATACCATTTGCAAACACATTCCGACACAAAATCGTTTAATTATTAATGAACTCTCATATGTGTAAGAAATCGATGTTACAATTTGCTATCGACCTTTGCTGCACGCCGATTAAAATATTTCCGATGCGACGACTTATATGTAAATACATATTTCGCGTACACGAACGAAAACGTCCTCGTAGTTTCTTTAGTAACGTTATTGCTCGTAAACGTTCGGACAGCTAAAACGATCGGAGTCCTTCGGAAAGCGGCATGTTTTTATTAAGGATAAAAATACATGAACATCAGTCTTGACGGTGAAGTGGATATTATGAAGCTTTTATTCGCGAAAAGCACTTTCTCGATTCGATATTACTGGTGCTTCGCAACGCACATTTGTTGCTAATCCGGTCCGTGTAAGATCGACGTATAAAATAAAACTTCAAGGTTGTTTTTTTTTTTTTTTTTTTTAAGTATTTGTTGTTCATTCTCGAGGAGTATTGTTCGGAAGATTACGGTGTCTGTATATTTTTTTCAAGTATTAGAAATTCAGGTAAACTTTTTTTGTCGCATTCACGGAGTGGAATTTTCTACTCGTTGGAAATTCTTGGGTACGTGGTATAGGACCTAAATGATCTCGTTACAACCACTTCCGTTTCCGCTCTCAACGCCGGCACGCAGACGCGATCGATCTGGCGTCTGTTAAGCTTTCGTTTCGTCCTACACGCGCTTCTTTAGCGCTTGGGATATTTTCTCGCTCAACGAATAAAATCACATTTCCTTTTATTTGTATCGTTGTGAATTATTGAGTTAAATGTTAATTCTTTTCATTACGGTAAATATTCTATTGTTTTTGCTAATGTGTATAAATGTTAGCAGTTTTCTTAGTCTCTTTTATTTACAGTTTTATTCGAAAAAAGTAACGAATATTCAACAATTCTTCTACGTCCGTCTTATTTGTTTTCCAACTCAAAAGTTTGTCAGCGATTTGTCGACATTTAGACGTAATTAGGCATTATTATTTTTTTCTTTTTTCTTGTATTGTATACATAGCTATTATATTAAATGAGAGACATGAAGAGGAGAAGAAAGAGAAAAAAAATCTTATGGCTTTAAAATGTAATAATGGTTTTTCCCTTTGTTTCTCTCTCTCTCTCTCTCTCTCTCTCACTCTCACTCTGCTCGCCTACCTATCCCCCATAACCACAGCGCTGCAGTCGTTACCAATCCGTCTGCGGCCGATGGCCTTTTCGCTCACTCCGTCTATTTCATCTCGTTTCTCGTTCCACATTCTTCGTTCCTTGTTCCCCAGCTATACCGCCGTCACCACTACTGCCGGTGCCGCCGCGACCGTCGCCGCCGCCGCCGCC